AGCTACACACCTCTGCTGGACACGGAAGCATATTTATGTTTTAGGATCTCAGGCTACTGAAGTATGATTTATATGCCACACACCCAGCCACATATGCTGTCCAATTCTATGATTTTTAGTAAATTCACAGAGTTTGCCATCATCACAATTCTCCCTCAACATATTTTCACCATGCCCCAAAGAACCCTTCTCTTGGTCTCAGTCATCCTCAGTCTACTCTGTTTCTAGATCTGCCAGTTTGGGATATTTTATCTAGTATGGAGCCTTTCTTGATTGGTGTACTTCTTTGAGCCCAATGTCTGACAACAAGCATTTAACACTCTGTCACATGGATAACTAGTTTACAGTTCATCTTTGACAGGCAGCTGGAGAGTTTCCAGGTTTCAGACGTGATCAGCAATTGTTTCTATGAATGCAAGTCTTTCTGTTGATATATATATATCTTACTTACCTCTCCCTTTATCTTTCTTCTATTATTTTTTTTCCAGTTTTGAGTGGCTGTGGTGTATACTCATGTGTGTACACCTATATTTGCACGTGTGTTCATGCATGTGTGTACGTGGGTGTACATACACCTGTGTGGAGGCCTGATATTGATGTTAGTAATCATCCTCCACCATTCTTTGACATTATTCGTTGAGGCAGAATCTCCCAGAGCTAGTTAGTGTAGCTAGTTTTGTAGCCAGCTTGCTTGTTTATTTTTTATTTTATTTTAAAAATTAATTAATTAATTATTAATTATTTTTGGTTTCTCAAGACAAGGTTTCCTTGTATAGCCCTGAGCTGTCCTGGAACTTGCTCTGTAGACCAGGCTGGCCTTGAACTCAGAGATTTCTGCCTCTGCTTCCCAAGTGCTGGGATTAAAGGCATGCACCACCATTGACTGGCTGTAGCCAGCTTGCCAGCTTGCTCTGAGAACCCCTTGTCTCGCCTTCTGAGGCTGAAATGCAGGCAGGACACCACACACACACACACACACCTGACATTTTTATGTGGTTCTGGTTTTTAACCACTGGGCCATTTCCTCAACACTGTTTTTTGTCTTTTTGATACAGGGTCATGCAACCCAGGCTGGCTTTGAATTTGCTATGAGGATGACCATGTTGCCTTGTGCTTTTTTTTTTTTTTAAAGTAAATTTGCTTCCTCCTTGGAGCTGAGGACCAAACCTAGTGCAAGCATTCTACCACCATGCTAAATCCCTAACTCCTGAGAATGACCTTGAGATTCTGATGGTCTTGCTTCCATCTCTGGAATTCTAGGATTTTAAGAATGTGCTGCTACACCTGATTTACCAGGTTATTAGGATTGAATCCAGGGCCTTGAGGATGCTGGGCGAGCACTCTACTAACCAGGCTATATCCTCAGCTCTCTATTTCTACTGAGTAGATAGGACTAGAATTGCTGAATTTTACTGTGAATTTGTATATAATTAAAAACAAACCCACCCATTTTTTCCCAAGGAACTGTGCTGTTTTACATTCCCATCAACACTGTGTGAAGGTCCTGGTTCTTTATGTCCTTGCTAAAACTTGCCATTGTTTGTCCTGGGGATTATATTCCTTCAGTGGGTCTCTTTTTTGCTCTAGTTTGAATTTCTGTAATTACAAGTGTTACTAAGCATCTTTCCATACATTTGCTGGCCCTTCACTTAGCTCCCTTAGTGTTTTTTTTTCTCAAATTCTTTGCACATTATAAAAATTGGGCTCTTCTTTACCTTTGTCATAAGAGTTCCTCGTGTAATCCAAATGTAATTCTCTTAGCAGATGAGAATTAGCAGGTTTGCGAGTACTTTCTCCAGGTCTGTGACTTTTCTTTCTTTTTCTTTTTTAACAGTATTGTTTAAAATGTAAAACTAACATTTTGATAGTCTAACTCATCAATTTTTTTTGTTTATGAATTGTGTTTTAACTGAAAATTCTAGCTCAACCAAAGAGCATAAAGATTTTCTCCAAAAAAATTTTATAGTTTTTTTCCCCCTTCTTATATGTAGATGAAAGCACTGATTCATTTTGAGTTCACTTTTGTGTATGGTGTAAGGTAAGGGTTTAGCTGAATCTTTATTCCAGTACGTGTCCAGTAGAGCCAACATCATTTGTTGAGAAAATGGCTCCTGTATTACTGACCATGCTTTAAAACCTTTTTATTTTATTTGGCCCTCTAGAGTACAAACAGAGTAGGGAGGGTGTGAAGAGAGGAGTTCATACACAGGTGAGGTAGAAAATGCTCTGTGCTGAAATTCTAAACACTAACATGAAGGAGACTGAGCATTCGGCTGATGTTTTAAAGACTAACTTGGACCACACATATTTTGTTTCCTTCATCTCCCCCGTTCCCTCCCCTACCCCGCACTGAACATCTGCTTTTTTCTTGTGAGAGGAAGTGAAAGATTTAGGTCAGGCATAAAAACAAACCATCTTTAAGGCATTCTTCCCTTTTAAAAGCCCCTACCCCTGACCCTGCTGGGTCAACTAAGCACCGAAGTATATACTGTTATGAGTAGTTCTAAAGTGAGTTTTACAAGTTGGCTTTTCCCAGGAAGAACAATTGAGACTGCTGTGTCTGAGTGTTGTGAAATTAAAAAGCTTGCCCCTTTCAAGGATGCTGGCAAGAGCTAAGAGAGACCATCCTTCAAGGGCCAGAGGACTGCCTCTTTCTCTTTCTTTCTTTCTTTTCTTTCTTTTTCTTTCTTTCTTTCTTTCTTTCTTTCTTTCTTTCTTTCTTTCTTTCTTTCTTTCTCTCTCTCTCTCTCTCTCTCTCTCTCTCTCTCTCTCTCCCTCCCTCCCTCCCTCCCTCCCTCCCTCCCTCCCTTCCTGTCTTTCTTCCTTCCTTTCTTTCTTCTATCTATCTATCTTCCTTCCTTCCTTCCTTTCTTTTTCTTTCTTTCTTTTTTTTTAATTTGATGTTTCCTAAAAGAAACATCTGAAGAGGATCTGTGCAGCCAGGAAGATCCATATTCAGATCTTACTTGTGTCTATGGCGGGCTTGATAGAGGAGAGGGAGAGACCTGTATTCTTGGGGAAGTCTGTCTCTAGAAAAATATTATTCTTTATAAAGAACATAATGATTTACATCTTCCTGCACAGAAATCTACTGGGCTCTTATGTAGCAACTGATGGAGTGGCTATAACTAGGGCATTCTTGTACTCTACCATTACCAAAGTTACCCTAGGATTAGGGTTGTGCCTTTCTATCGCCCTGGCCACCACCCTGTGAAGTAACAGCTAACATGTATCTATCCTTTACCTATACACTACTGTGCTGTGTTCCCCATTTTAATTTATTTAACTGTGCCTTAGGTTCATAACTGCGTTATTTGGGGGGAACTGAAATGCAGAAGCAACTGAGGTGGTATCTGGAGACGGAGAGACTCCTCCTCCTGAAAGAGCTTTGAGCCAGAAAAATCATCTAGGAAGATCCTTGAGGGACACACAGCAGCTGAGCCCCTTTCTCAGCCCTGCATTTTCTTTAAACTTTTAGGATTCAGCTGAGGCAAGGAAGAAAGTGGAAGCAAACACTTCTCTCTATCTTCTTGCTTTGGTTTAACATGCTTTTTTTTTTTTTAAATTTGAAAATGAGATTTTAAAGTGAACACCCAAAATAATGGTTCCACGGGAAATAGGAGTGAGAAGCTTGTTTTGGACAGGTGATGCCCGGTGCAGCAGGAGACTTTTTGCCATAGATGAGTGCCTCTTCACTGATCCGTTAGCACAGACCTGTAGTTCAAAGCCTAAATGTGCTTCCCCCACGGGCCCACGGGTGTGTTAAAGGTGTGGTTGGTCTCCAGCCTGTGGGGTGACTGGGAGGTGCTCCGGCCTTTAAGAGGAGGAAGTGAGGTCACCTGGGTTGTGTGCTGTCTCGGCTTCTTTTCTCCTGACAAAGCACCTGAAGGGAGAAAGGGTCTGTTTGAGCTCACAATCCAAAGCATCATGGCAGGGAGGTCGGGCGGCAGGGGATTCAAAGGGCTGCTCGCTTGTATCCACAGAAAGCGGAGAACACTGAATGCATGCTTGCTGCTGCTCAACGCACCTCTCCATTTTTATATAGTTTAGGACCACCTGCCCAGGGAATAGTCCCAGCTGCAGTTATGAAGGGTCTAAATCAAGTAAGAATTGTCATCAAAAATTCAGACAGTCCCTCACAGGCACACCCAGGGGCTTGACTCCCGGGTGGTTCTAGACTCTGTCCAGATGATAATTAACACTAACTAGCATGTGCCCCTTGAGAGATACTGGGACCAAGGCCCTTCCCGCCTGTTCCTGACCACAGTTAGGTCCACAGGCTTCCTGCGTCATGTGATTCTCCCTTACATACTACGCCACTACAGACCCAAGGCAACAGGGTTAAACAACTGCAGATTGAAACCCTGGGTCAAATAAACCTTTCTCCTTGATTATCTTGGGTATTTTGTTACAGCAGTGAAAAGCTGGCTGGTGTATTTTGACAGTCCGGATACGGCTCTACAGTGATATTGGAGTCCGTTAGCTTATCTAAAATTTTGGTTTCTTGGGCCGGGCGGTGGTGGCGCACGCCTTTAATCCCAGCACTCGGGAGGCAGAGCCAGGCGGATCTCTGTGAGTTCGAGGCCAGCCTGGGCTACCAAGTGAGTCCCAGGAAAGGCGCAAAGCTACACAGAGAAACCCTGTCTCGAAAAACCAAAAAAAAAAAAAAAAAAATTTTTGGTTTCTTTTTTGACTGCTGGCTCCTGACCTCCCTTTTTAGAGCACGTATTTCAGAAATTTTTTCCTTGCCCATAAATCTTCTCCTGGCCTTACACCAATTATAAGCCAGGAATGTCTTTCTTCAGGGTCCGAGGGACTTCCATTCAAAATGTGACCATCAAGAAAAAAAGACGGGGCCTCTGTCTCTTGGTATCCGTGTGAGGACCAATTTCAGAGAGTGCCAACCGGCAAACAGATGACCATTTTACTTTGACAAACCTCTCTCTCCGGTGTCCTTCATCGATGCTCAGGAATTCACCTTTGTAAAAAACTCCCTTACAGTGTTTGCTTCGACAGCATGTACACTAAAATTGGAACAACCCAGAGAAGATAAACACGGCCCCGGCACGAGGATGACATGCAAACTCATGAAATGTTCCATGCTGTTTTCACTAAATCAGCATAGTACTTAACTGCTTTCTAAGTATTTGTCCTTCTACCCACAGTCAGCTAGAGCCCTCACCCCTCATCAAGGAAGCTTTTCTTTGCAACAGATGGAGGCCGTTGCTGAAAACTCACACCAATTAAAACGCAGAGTCGAGGAGCCCAGTCCCAGTGGATGCATCTACCAAACAATTCCCACACCTTATAAGGCTCAGGGAACACGGCAAGAGAAGGGGCCGTTGGGTTTGTGAGAGGACCGGGGAGTTTGCTGGGAGATTGTGTCTCCTAGCAACCTCAGAAGCTACACCCACAAACATTCGCCATTATTGCCTAAGTGTGAGCTGAACAAGGACAACGGTAGCCATGCTGTCATGGATGGGGGAAAGCCCACGAGGCCTCCAACCTCCACAAAGAACTGTAAGTAACCAGGAATGTCGAGAGTGGGAGAAACAGCCTTCCCCAGGGAAGAGCACACCACGTGGTTGTCCAATACCAAACGGTCAGCCCTGAAGACATACATACAAGTAACATATGGATGGAGCAGGTTGTATTTAGGGGTATATATGTATATATACATGTAACAATAATGAAAAAGGAGGTCATGGGTTGGAAGGATAGCATGGAAAGATATATGGGAGAGCTTAGAGGGAGGAAAGGGAAGAGGAAATTATGGAATTATATTGTGATCTTAAAAATAAAAGAAATAATATTTTAAACACACACACACACACACACACACACACACACACACACACACACACACACTTATGCCTTTTGTTTAGAGGGAATTGAATTTGGTCTCCTTGATCACACTAGGCTTGACTCCTGTTGTGGTGGTCTCCCCCCAATATAATCATCTTGTTAACTTTTTAAAGAATTTCATCAATGCACTCAAAGTATTTCCATCATAGTCACTCCACCCTTCTTCCTAACTGCTTCCAAATCCACTCCCTTCTGACTCCGTGCCTTTCCCCATTTCAACTTCCTGTCCTTTTTTTTTTTATAGTTCTTTCTTCCTTTCCTTCCTTTTTTTCTTCCTTCCTTTTCTTTTTCTTTCTTTTTTTATAACCCATGAAGTCAAATTTGAGCTGCCCATATCCTCATGGGTGTGAGGTCATTGCACGGTTGACCTACGCTTGCCCTTTAAGGTTCAGGCCCTTAAAAGAACTGACTGCCCCTCCTCCAGAAGCCATCACGTACCAATGGCTCCTCAGCCAGGGGTGGGGCCCAGTGAGCCCCTCTCCACTCCATGCTAGAATGCTGACTCATGAGTGCAGCCGTCCTGCCTCATCCAGAAGACACTGTTTCACTGCAGTCTTCCCTGACTTGGGTCTCTTGCAGTTTTTCTGTCCCCTCTTCTTCCTTGATGGTCCTTGAGCCTTGTGGGGAGGGGTGTGATAAAGACCCATTTATGGCTGAGCACCCCACATATACTGACTCTCCACCCTTTGACCAGTTGGGGGTTCCCTTGTTAACTGTTGGTCATTTCTTACAGCAATCTGCAATGGTGTGTTTCTTGTTTGTTTAACTCTACCTGGGGTTGTCCTTCTTTGACATACGGTAACTTGAATACTATTTTACTTTAACTGATTCCCCAGTGAGTCTGAAAAAACGAATAACCCAGAACACAGGATGACTTTGTCATGGTACACTGTTATTTGGAGTCATTACGGGGGTCCTGTTGTATAAAATATTTCACATACTTTAATTACATTTAACAAGTCTAAAACCAAACTGCTTCCTGTCTTTCCTTGTCAAGAGATGACCTAGGTACCCCAAACATAGCCACCTAATTTAATACACAGAAAATGCATATACACAGACACACAATTAATAATAGCTATCTATTTTTTTCAGGCCTGATACATGCCACACACTGTATGCTTTGTACATAATGCACTTTATAAAACATTGCCTCAGCTAATCTTTATAGCATCTCAGTGTTAGGCACAATTATTTATTTCATACATGAGGAAGCTGAGGCTCAGAAAGGTTGAGTAAGCTCTATAAACCACACAACTCGTACAGGTCAGAAGTGTGATACAACCCTATCAGCCAGTCTCAGAACATGCCACAGTTATCTTTTAAGGATGCACTGAGCTATCTTGCTAGGATTCTGCCCCAAATCTATATTTCCAAAGGAGCCAAATAAAAGCTTGCCATATTTTGTCTACATTCTACCTTCCAGAGGCACTGTAGAACATTTCACTACCGTGTTCAGGGTTTCAGCTCAAAGCCAGCTGCTGCCCATTTCCTCTGTGTCTGCTACCAGTCATTCTGCTTTGTGGCAAGCTGCATATTCCTGGAGCAAAGTAGCCAGGCTGATCCTGGCTCAGGGCTGCTCAGTCAGGGACTTCTGGGGATCTCCCATGGTGCTTCTAGCACTTCCTCAGTAGAACTTGAAGACACAGTGGTTTCCTGTTTGACTCATGTGTCAGAGGAAATTCCAGCATTTTCTCAATCACCTGTTCTCTGCAGCATTGGGCTATGAATACCACTCAAATAATACACTATTGTATCATCGGTCGTGAGAGGATGACATTGCAAGGCACAATAACAAGAATACCAGGAAGCAGACAGCAATGGCTTCTACCTCAAAACATCACCAGTAACAAACCACTCTCTGTTAAAATGCCTGCCTTTTTAGCTTCCAAGTGTTACTTGTTCCTTATATGTATGATTACTGTTGCCCCTAGATACTTACCAGTTGATGAGGTGTTTTATATAAATCAACAGATGCTGTCAAAGACAAGGGAGATCAAGTAATTAAAAAATACTTTTTTCAATGAGTATTCTGTGAAAAATTTAGAAGACTAAAACCCACAGCCCCACCAACCTAGAATAAGTTTGCTTCCTGCCCCATTCCCTGCCCTCCTCTGTTTTTCACTCTTTTATTCTAAAACGATATTGTTTTCAAGAAGAAAACCCAACCATGGACCTTGCCAAAAAGGAATTTACAACCTTAAGGTCAACACAAATGTGAAAATGAAGACAAAAGAATATTGAAAAAAAAATAGACAACATAGGGAATGATGAAGATAATAGAATTCTGATTATCGTATTTTATTTTAAAATGAGAAAACGATAAGCATTTATATATAGAGTCATCTTCAGAAAGCAGGTGAGTCTTGCTCACAGGCCTTTAAGGGGACCAGCTATGGTTATTTAGTGACTGTACAACAATACATGCATCGGCAGACTGATAATAGCCAATGACTAGTTGAGTTCAGGTACTAAGAAAATGATCTGGAGTTGAATTGATGAGTATTGCAGTTTCTCTAGGCCCCTGATTCCCAGAATCACCACTGGGACACATATGGCCGGGACTGTCGCCCTGCCTTGGTTCTTACTTGCTGCACATCAGTAGGCAAGTTAACTTAACTTCTCTATGTTATATTCTCATTGATGACACAGGGAACACAGGTTGTTATATAAATAGTATAATCCATCTCACATCATATTTACTACAGACCATGTTCCACAAGTCCCTAAGAAATGTTAAGATCATTAATAATTCCTCTAGTTTAAAAATGAACCAGCTTTCTCTATGAGTTGCTTTAAGATAGCCATGAATTTATCAGTCAAAGGAAGTGTTTACCAAATGCTTCTGGGAGACCCTGGCCTTTCTTTCCTTTTCTTTTTTTTTTCTTTTTCCGGAGCTGAGGACCGAACCCAGGGCCTTGCGCTTGCTAGGCAAACACTCTACCACTGAGCTAAATCACCAACCCGACCCTGGCCGTTCTGATGAGGAAGTTTGTAATGGACTCTTTCAGAGTGGCAGGTATATACTATTAATGAAGAATGCTACTACTATGTTTTCACCATTGAGATGGCAAAATTAGAAACTAACAAGAAGTTTTTTACTTTAGAAAACAACTGATGTCATTAAAACTTGAAGTTCTGCAGCCCCTAGAGCCGACTCTGTGACACCTCCCAGCGGGAAGGCAGAGAAAACAGGCCAGGAACACCTGTATATGTATTTATGGAAAACTCAGAATGTTTTATCCAGTATTCAGTGTATATTGCACAAGATTATAATTTTTGTTTGTTTATTTTTTGAGACAGGGTCTCTCTGTATAGCCCTGGCTGTCCTGGAACTCACTACACAGGCCAGGCTGGTCTTGAACTCAGAGATTCACCTGCGTCTGCCTTCTGAGTGCTGGGATTAAAGGTTTGTTGCCTCCATGCCCAGCCTAGAATAATTTGTTAAAGAATATATTTTAGGAGCTACTCTAATTTTATATCACAGTATTAAATGATGTTTATTTTAGAAAAAATAGAAAGCAGAAATAAGAAAAGTAATAGAGAAAAAACATTCAACATTTGATGTATTTCCTCTCAGTTTTTATATAACATTTCTAAGCACATAGTAGTAGAGTTTCTTTCATTTTTTCCCACTGTTGGGGATTGAACTAAGATGTACAAACTAAACAAGTCAGTTGTATCTCCATCCCTCTTTTTACTTTCTGTTTTGAGGCAAGGTCTCACTAATTTGCCTAGACTGGCCTTGAACATCCTTGGTATACTTCACTTGTCATCCTCCTGCCTCTGCCTCTTGAGTAGCTAAGATTACAGGCCTACATCACCAGCTACATTCATAGTTTTTATATGGGTATTTCAACTCCCAATTCTTTTTTTTTCTTGTTTCACTCAGTATTTTATTTGTGAGATTCCTGCATATGTTTCGCATGGTAGCGAGAATGCATTCTTGTTACCTTCTTTTCCAGATCATTTCAAAGAAGAATAAAAGGCATATACATAGAGAATTTAATACAAAAAATTTCACGAAATGTTTAAAAAATTAACTTATGAGAGAGGCCAGGGTCCAAATATAGTGACATTTCTAGTTTTAGACTCCATTCTGAGTGGAGCAGTCCTCCATTGTGCTCATTCCTGGTTAGCATCTCTGTTATCCCTTCTGTCCATTCTTATTGACAAGCTCAATGAAGGAAAACATGCTGTACTGGAATGAGGTTCATAGGCATGTGAGAGATGTCATGATTA